ATATCTGTATCACATTTTTTCCCTCGTATTATCAATGCTGTCGTAATATACATATGTTTCAAATTGGACGTATTGATGTACTTACATTTTTTCACATTTTATACATTTAATTAAAATAATTTAGTATCTGTATACTGCAAAATATGAAGCGTGAAAAATATATTAAAAAAACTAGGTAAATTTTAAAAGTACTCTCTTTTATCGGTTTGGCAATTTAAAATGGTAGAAAATATAAAAAATTATATTTTATAATAGATTTTGACGTAATATTTTTAGCCTGCTCGTGTAAATATTTTTTTATTTAGCATATGCTTTAACATAATATGTCCTTTTTTTTGCGTTTTTGTTGGGAGATGAAAGGTATATTGACACATGGTTTTTGAAATTTAATAATTTTTTTATTCATGCATTCTTTACATTGAGCCGAATGCAATTGAAACCAATTTCAACGAGATACGTTTAATTAGAAACCTCTAGGACTTGTACAAAAAATTATCATTGAACATACTTTCTCATTTAATATTTCGTATTTTACATTTGATAATTGAGTGTCTCTCAATTCGGCTTTATGTGAGTGCAAATAAATTTTTAATGAGAGTTAAGGACAAAATTTATTTTAATTGCCTTGAACAGAAATTGCATAAACCGAATGTACGCGCTGTAAAATTTCAGCCGTCCGAAATTTAATACTTCCTCGCGAGTCGATTTTCATCACGCATAGAGAACGAGTACTCGTTGTCGGGACTGTACCATATTACGCGTCGGACAATTATTATGCCAGAGGTGGCCACGCAACGTCGTACCTCGTAAGGAAGGTTCGGGCCGGATGTGGTACAGCGAAAGTTTCGTCCATGGACGAAATTGCGCGCGTGGCGCGTCAGGCCGCCTGTGAAGGCCTAACGGGCGATTTTGGGGTAGGTCGCGTCAGACCGAACATCCACGACGTGAAGGGGAACCGCAATGATGCCCGAGTGAGGAAGAGAAAGAGGGAGAAATGCGAGATTTTGCGCGGCGAAAGTTTTGTCAAAGCATGCGGTATATACGGGTATGCGTGCAGGATGATGATGTTATGCGAGTCGTTTCGCATGCCGCACTCCCCGGCTAACGTTGCCGTTCTGCTCCCGAGTTAATATCGCAAAATCAGTTCATTATTGTTCTAGTATCCCGCAGAAAAAAATACGATTACTTTTTAGCCGCGATTTCATCGACGTGAAATTTTGACGTTATAACTTTATTTTCAATTTTGACATGACACTTTGGCGAGGCGTTAAAATAATTTGTATATATTCATTTTTAGTATTGCGTGTTAATAAAATATGTAAATAAAATACGTGAAAAATGTAAAAAAGAAAAATGAAGAGAGATAAGAGTATCAAAATATACTCTCTTTGGAGTGGAATCTCTCTTTAGATAAAAGTGAAAATTGGAGTCAGTCTAGAGAAAGAGTGGCTTAATTTTCAATATTTAAAAGTGAGAGATTTCACTTTAGAGAGTGACAATTCATGCTAAAAGATTCAGAAAGTATATAAGAAAATGTAGTAGAGTGCAAGGAGAAGATCGAGAATGGAAGTTGTACAAATCTTACTACAGAAAAATTCAATTTTAATTGTTATTAAAGTTAATTATAATCACATCTTGTTAATTACAAAAGTCACTGCTATTAGAAATTAAATGTTTGAACATTTACTTATCTTACGGAACATTTTGTGTAATACAAATCGAAATACAAATCGTAAGGAAACAATCGAACAATAGCAAATACTGTTGTGTATACTCTTTCGTCGTTTATTCGCTCCATATTTTTTCTGTTTCGACAATATTTTTTAACAAATTATTTTAAATGGATGTACGGGTATATTGTACACACTACGTAACGGGCATATTTGGTAGCATTTGTCAGTGATTGGCCATTGAAACGTTGCACGAAAAAATTGACGAGTGCGGTGTAGCCGATTGCAATGAGAAGAGAGTCAACCGAACAACGCGACGCGAAGCCTTGTTCGCTCGCAGCCTAAAATAGGACGCATTGCAACAGCCTTTTTTCCGCCGCGGATCGATAATCCGCCGTGCAACAGCTTAACCTTCCACGCCGCGAGTGACACAACGAAAAGAGAATTTCTTAGTATAAAACTAGGAATTAACTTATAGCGTACATAGTTAGCCGCTACCTTGCTCGTGCGGTTTCGTATTTCGAGATCGATTATCTTTCGCAACACTGTCGTACGACGAAGAAAATGCGAATTAATGTAACTAGAGCATCAAATATTAAGGGAACCTTAAAGAAAATTAAACGTAGTTTCAAACGTCTAATAATTCGTTGATTTTGACATTTGAAAGAAAATTTAGGTAATATCTTTTTTGGGAAGACACTTGGATTCTGACATTTTTAATTCTTAGAACGTGGCATTGATTAAAATTATTTTTACGCGAGCAACATGATAGATTTAAACTTATGCAGCTGGAAATTTCTGTTAATCTTTGGTATTACATTGACGATAATACACTACCAAAGAATTTGATAGTGAGTGTTGAATATGAAGATACATGTATTATTCCGGGATATGCAGATTCAGTTTTTAATTGAAATACATATCGTATTTCTTGAATTTGCTTTTGCTCGCAAACATAAAATTTATGATCAAAAAGACGTTACAAGAGAACGACAATCATGTTTTCTTTCTTTTCTT